CCAATCCCCTGTAACCTCTCCTATTTGGGCCCCGGCTCTTTCCACCTCCAGGTGCTTAGAGGCAGCCCAAGTCCAGCAACTTCAGGTGGGAAATGCTTGGGGAACATATGTCTATTCTGAAAGTATATTTCCTAAACAATACAGCATGGCAACTATTTATAGAAATTATTTACATTGCATTGAATAAATCAATCCAGAGGTGATTTAAAGTATATGAAAGGCACTATGCAAACATTGCAGCATTTAATAGGACAGACTTGAATACCCAGTGCCTACAGGGTCCTGGGGCTAATTCCTTGAGGACATGGAGGGGTGAATTATTAAATCTGCTGTCCCATCTCACTGTCACCTTAGTGGGTGCTTCCAAGGACTGCATATCAGGACAGTGTGAAAGATGGAAAGGGCCCGCTGTCTGACCTGAGAGCCCCCTGTGGGGCCGCATGAGGGAAGCTAAAGCCACTGAGCAGCTTGTCCAGTGGTTTCTGGCCTGGACATGATCTGACTGGGAATGGATGGCTCATAAGTTGGGAGATGCCCTGGATTGGTGGGGTGCTTCCTCCATGCACAAGAGAATGTGGAAACTGGGGGACATTCGTTCCCAAAACTAGGAGGGATGAGAGGCCAGAATGGCCAGAGAACTGAAGCACTGAATTTCAGGCTTATCTGCCCCACGGGTGCCCCACGGGTGTCCCACTGGGTTCAGCCTGCCTGCCTGCCTTTTTTGTTTCTTTCTTTCTTTCTTTCTTTCTTTCTTTCTTTCTTTCTTTCTTCTTTCTTTCTTTCTTTCTTTCTTTCTTTCGATGGCCACACACACACATACAACTCACAACACACAGACACACACACAGACATACACACACACACGCAGGCACACATGCACATTCCTTACTAAAACCCAACAAAGAATTGCTCCACCCAGGAGAGCAACCTGTCAATTTATTGGGAAATAACCAGTTGCTCAGCTATTTTAATTGATGGAAAAAGAGTTTAGCCTACTCAGGCATCTAACCTATATGACAAATTTGGGTCAGTTTAGGGACCAGGATGGGGCTAGTGTGGGCTGCTGGAAGGATGGCCAGTTTGTTTACATCAGATGGGGGCTGGGCAGGAGGCCTGAGGGGACGGAGGGGTCCACTGTGACCCAGGCTCCTGTGTGAGAGGAAGCTGAGACCCTGGGGTGGCCACCAGCTTCAGGGCAGCCCCTCTGGGGAAGGAAAGAGGCCTTACCTTACACTGAAAAGGTGAGGATGCTGGTGCCCGCAGGCCCAGCCTTGCGCCACCTAACTAGCACAAGTGTCATTCCCCAGCCAGTCCTCACTTGAGAAACTCAGGGAAGTAGGAACACTTTGGGGGGTCAGCACGGGACCTCTGCCACCACCAACTGTGAAAGTGCAGGGTACACCAAGAATATCTTCCAGGCGGAGCCTAATACAGCCAGCCCTGACTCACAGGTGCCCTGCCTCGCTGGGGCGGCTCCTGCCAAGTCGCTCCTGGATCGCCAGCTCCGTGGCTGCCACACCCAGCCCAGCGAGTTCCTCGGCTCTTTCTGTTGAGCAGCTACCACGGTGCGGAGCCACTGAAGCTCTGTCCCTGAGTCTGGGCAGCTCTCATCAGCCTTCCTATCCCAGAGTGCCTGGGATTGGCTCCTTGTGCTTTCTGTTTCTTTTATTTATTAGAAGTGACCTAAAAGAGTCTCTGTTCCTCTCTTAAAATCTGTTTTCAGACACCCTGCCAAGCCCCTGTTCATCACCAGCTTTTCCTAGTTTGCACCAAACAGTCCTGGGGAGTAGGCGGTGCTCTGAGAGCCCCTGAGTCTGGATCAAGTAGCTCTTTACAGGATGCCTTGGGACCAAAGGACAGAGTTCCCAACTGCTCAGTGGGCCCGGCCCTTAAAAAAAATTGCTTGAATTGTCAGGATGCTTTTGGCCTTGAGTACCCAGACAGGTAACTTGGCATCCACACAAGGAGGGAAGGAGCCTGGCTCCAGCTCCAGCCTCTCCCAGAAGCCCTGGGATGTGTTTTTTGTGCTCAGGTTCTGTCTTCACCTCCCTCACGGGCCAGCAAGGAGGGCTAGTCTGCCTCCCACGCTCTCCTGGCCAGGGCATCCACGGAAAGCAGCACCCAGCACGCCAAGGGTCTGAAGTTCACCCTGATTGGAGCACTTACACCACATGCCCCTCCCCAAACTTGTCCTGATTGGATTATGCCTATCTCCTAACCTATTAGGAGCATTAAGATTATCCCCTACCAATCAGGTCCCCCACTAGGACTTGGCTCCAGAGGCCTGCTCTCTGAGGTTCGTAGGCTGCCTGACAACTTGAAAAGAACCCCAATATCTACCAGAATTTTCAGTACAGTACAGCTGACACCTTGGAAATGATGTCTGCTGTGCTAAAGGGTGAATGCAGAGTCCAGGAATAGCTAGGGCTGGGATTCCTGGGCACAGCCCTCTGGTATATACACTAGGGTTCCGCTGCAGCAGGGCCTGTGGATTCGTGGGGGACCATGTGCTTGGCTGCTCATAGCTCCCAACCACCTTTCCCAGCCCAGGCTTGTTTTCCACTGATAGGAGCTAGTGGTCCCAAGAAGTCAGGGGCCCTGTCCTCACCCTGGGGGTAAGTCACAGTCACCAACAGCTCATGCCATCAGGTGGTCAGCTCTCCAAAGTCCGGTCCCTGTGTGGTCGCTTCCCTAGAGCCTCCTCCTAACACAGTTGTAAAGACACAACATGTACCCGAGTCCCTTGAAAATTATGCTCCTGGGCCGGCCACATAGCTCAGTGGATTAAAGCGCTTGCTTAGGCAGATGCAGGAACTGGGGTTCCATCCCCACATGCTGTGCTGGCCCTGCCCCCGGGACACACTGAGACAGTGATTGAGACTGGGCATGGTGGCATGCGCCTGTAATCCCAGCACTTGGGAGGCTGAAAACAGGAGAATCACTAAGAATCTGATCTATGCAGTGAGACCCTGTAGACCCTGTACTAAATACGTTAAAATTTTTTTTTCATAAAAATTTTTTTAAAAAAAGAAAATTATGCTCTTGTGAGCCTTAAGTGGCCAGCAACAGCCTTCAGCTCCATGAGTGGCAGCTTTGTGAAGGTATGTGTGATGTAACAGAGGCCCAAGCAAAGAGACCTGTCTTTATTTGATATATAAATTATTATAAAAATCATTGAAAGTAGAGAGATTTCTCAACTAGAGACATCAAATTCCAGGCTTTGGTAGCTCTCAGAAGCTGTATGCCTGGAGATTAGAGGCAAACAGAAAATGAAACTTGTGTTCCCTAAAAGCTCACAGTCCCCTTGGGAGATAGCAGAGCCGAAAGGGTGGTAAGTGGAGCGGCCCTCTGGAGCCACGCAGGCTTGGCCTTTCCTCTTCCCTGCCTGGGAAAGACTGCAGGGCTGGTGCCTCACCACAATCTAGGGTTTGCCTTGGCTGCCACCACAGGGTAGCCACTGCTTTCAGGGCGTGCAATCTTCCACAAAGCATTTTCTTTCTGTAAATTAGTCAGAATTCTTTTGGCTCTAAGGGGAAGAATAATCCCTGCCTGTTTCAGCAGCATAGCTACTAAAACTGGGGAAAAAAATCCAACTCAAACCAGCCAAGTCTGACCTAGAAATCTACTGACCCCTAAAACATATGTGCGGGTGAATAGGATCAAGCGAAGGTTGAGCCGGTGACTCCAAAACTGTCCTCCGATGTGGCTGCCCATTGCTCTCTTGCAGCCCCCCCCCTCTCTCCTCTCCTGCCACCTATGGAACCATGGCCATGTTCCTCTTCCAGATTATGTCATTAAGCCAATCACTCAAAAGTTAAAAGACTTTGCTTTCTACAGGAAAGGCATGGATGGGCCTGATTTTAGTCAGTCTCTCATTCTTTAATCCGTCCACATAGGGATTAAGGTTGGAAAGCTACAAGGGCATGTACTGGGCCTCATGCCCAGGTTGCAGAATGCTCCAGTAACATAGACAGAAGTTCCTTAAAGAAAATGAGCGCCGGGCCACGGAGCGCGAGGTCGCCGGTTCGTGCCCCCGGTCCGACTCTTTCTCTTGGGGCCGGGGAGATGGCTCAGTGGAATAAGTGCTTCCCTAGCAAGCGCAAGGGTCCGAGTTCAATCCCCGGTTCCGCCAAAAAAAAAAAAAAAGAAAATGAATCATTGCTGCAATGAAATGGGGGGGAATGTCCAAAACCAGGAGCTGCTTTAAGATGATTGGTATCACCCCTTTCTGATTTCCCGTCACCTCCTTAGGGTGGGCCACCTTCCCTCCACTAAGATTAAGACTAATGAGGTCATCCATGTGCCTTTGCTATCACTAGATCACTATTACCTTAGGAACTATACATTTAGTCTTTTTTTTTTTTTTCAGTACTGGGGATTGAACTCAGGACCTTGTGCTTGCCAGGCAAGCACTTATTCTACTGAGCTATCTCCCCAGCCCTACATTTAGTCTTATTGATTCATCCTAATTTGATCGACATTGTACCTGCCTCATGACTTTGCTTTATAAAACTTCTTTGCAGAAGTGGCTCATTGAAACTGGTGTGCTGGCACAAGCCCGTAATCTCAGCCCTCAGAAGGCTGGGTGCAGGAGGATTGCCATGAGTCTGAGGCCAGATTGGGCTATAAAGTGAGTTCTGGGACAGCCTGAACTACATAGTGAGATCCTGTCTCAAAAAGACAAAAAAGGGCTGGTCTGTCTCCCAGGAGTATTCCTAATCCCTTTCCTATTCTTCACATCTTTTCTTGAAAACAAACTGAACAGGCACTGTCTTCACTGCTCCGGGCTCTCACTTATGGAGCAAGACTGATCATTTCTAGTCCCTGGGATGGCACTCATGGGTAAGTGGTAAGATGCCACCCCATCGTACATGCTGGCCCTGGATCGCTCTTTCCACCAGGGCTTCTTTGGGAGCAAGATAAAAAAAAGGGGGGGAGCACTTTTGTGTTTTTCTTGCTAACCTCAGATCTACTACTCAACAGGACAACCTCCAAGGACAATGCACCTCACACTGGGCCTGGGCCTGTTCCTAGCTGGCCTCCTCACCACAGACGGGAAGCAACAGCCCACTGTCTCTTCCCCAACCTCGGTGTCTAAGATCCATCCCCAAGGCTGGAAGGAGCAAAGGAACGCTCGGGATCTGACCAGGCGCAACATGGAGTTTGGCTTCAAGTTGCTTAAGAAGCTGGCTACCAGCAGCCCCAGGAAGAATGTCTTCTTCTCACCCTTGAGCATCTCCACCGCCTTCTCTCTGCTGTGTCTGGGGGCCCAGGACTCAACCCTGGCTGAGATCAAGAAGGGCTTCAACTTCACAGGGATGTCGGAGCGGGAACTGCACCAGGCCTTCCGCCACGTCCTCCACAAGCTGAACCGGGAGGAGGAGGATGTCAAGCTGCGCTTCGGCAACACCCTGTTCATGGACCAGAAGCTGAAGCCGCAGCAGAAGTTCCTGAGAGTGGCCAAGAACATGTACAATGCAGATGTCCTCCCTGCCAACTTCCACAACCTGGAACACACCCAGAAAGAGATCAATGAATATATCAGTCAGAAAACCCATGGGAGAATCAAGAACCTGATCAACAGCATCGACCCAGGCACTGTGATGCTTCTCACAAACTACATTTATTTTCGAGGTAAGGCTTGGGCACACTGGTGTGGAGAAAATAGGGTACCCAGTCGGTGTGGGTTAAAAATGTGGCCACTTACATATTCTGCGAGCTTGAATTCCCATGCAACTAACCTCTCAGCCCACTTCCCTATCAAAAAAATGAATACTATGATACACAACACTTGGGATTCCATAGGGGAATGTTTGTGAAATGAGTTTGTGAAGTCTGAAGTTATTCTCCCCATGCCAATTGTCACTCTTCTTGAATATTCTGACAACAGAGAGAGAGAGAGAGAGAGAGAGAGAGAGAGAGAGAGAGAGAGAGAGAGAGAATTAGTCAAAAACAGGTGAAAATCAGAAGGCCCCAGCAAGGTCACTCCTGAGTGATGGGTGACGTGGTCCTGGACATGGAAGGTTGGGTCTCCCAGATTCTACAGGCAGATGAATAGCTGGGTGATAGAAGTCTGAAACCGTGCTCTGCCTAACCCAGAAAGGAGGGAAGAAGACCCAGGACTTTCTCAAAGTCCTTTTGTCCGTAGATTACACCAGTGGCAGCAAAGCTGCTAGTGATGCCTAGCGTCACCTAGCACTCACTATACACAGCCACTGAGCTACTCAGCCTTATCGCACCCAGCCCCCAAGTCACCTGAGAAGGCACTTAGCAATATCTTCATTCTATGAATTAAGGACCCTGAAGTGCAGGGGAATTGGGCACTTGTCCAAGGTCTCCTTTGAGAGAGATGCAGCCAGGACTAGAGCTCAGGGAGTTGACCCTCAAGGCCTTATGCTGAGGCCTCTGAGGGTAACAGATTTGAAAAGACACAGAGCTGAGTTTGTGTGCAATGGAGACAACTCATCCTCAGGACCAAGAAGGAGGGGCCCCGTGCCCAGGCTGAGTGTCTACGTAGCCCAGCACTCCTGGCAATAGCCTTTCTCACGTGAGAGTGAGTCCTTCACAGTTGATGTGGAATAAAGTAAAGCATGTGCACTCCTGTCACCCCCAGACACCCCCCATTCCACCACTAGCTGCAATTCGGTCCCCTCTGCTGGGACATTAGCTGTAGACCTTCTCTCCCTGGGCAGCATCTGGGCATGAGGGTGCTGCTACGCTCCCTGTTTGCAGCCTTAGTCCTGGCTTCATTCAGATCTGATCCGGCACCTGAGCCCACCTACCCAGAATCTTCAGGGCATGGGAGGAGGGCAGGGATTCCTGGAGTCTTTCTGTGATGTCTCCAAATGTCCACGTCCCTTACTCTGAGTGTGTGGTCACAGACCCCTGAAAGTCAGATCTGGTCACCTTCTCAGCATCTTGTCACCTTCTTAACATCTGGACACTCATGTAATTTTTGTCCTTCTTCAATCCTAAGCCAGGTGGCAACGTGAGTTTGATCCAAAAGAAACGAGAGAGGAAGATTTCTTCCTGAGCAGTAACAAAACAGTGAAGGTGCCCATGATGTTCCGAGGGGGGCTGTACGACATGGGCTACGACAAGCAGCTCTCCTGCACCGTCCTGGAGATACCCTACCAGGGGAACCTCACGGCCACCTTCATTCTGCCCGACAAGGGCAAGATGAGACAGCTGCAGCAGAACTTGCAGGCAGACATTTTTGGCAGATGGAAAAAAATAATGACAAAAAGGTAAAGAGGGTGCCTGATGCGCACGCTTCTTCTCTTCCCTCCTACTCTACACGCTTTACTTCTTCCACGCCAGATTTCTTCTGGTTGGACCATAGGGCCAAGTCCTTCTGGTCCCACGATGAGCCTCTGCTATACCAGGAGACAGGCCGGCAAGCACGTGAGCAGTGAAACGCTGGCTCCTCCAGGGAGATGCATCGCAAACATGGTGCCCCGTGGAGGGTGCGGGTCAGAGAGGGCCCCTGGAGAGAATGGCTCTCGTGCTAAGACTTCAGGCCATGCAGGAGGGAGAAGAGTGGTGGAATCCTAGGCAGAGGGGCTTGGGGCATTAAAGGGAGCCAGGAGGCATTCACTGTGAATAGAATGAAGTTTTCAACTGGGGTGTCATACCCAAATCATGAAGTGGGACCCACGCAAATCACACTAATAACAAGTAGAGGACCAAGCAGATGACCTATTCTGAGAAGCATCATGTTCCTACCTCCTGAGGAACTCAGTCTGCAGACATGGTGTGGAGTTGCTTCTATCTACAGGCAGGGGTCCTGGCCAGGCCTCTTCTGCTGTCCTCTATGGGAGTGGGGAGAGATGGGCTGTTCTTCTGTGCCCCTTCTGTGGTCCTCAGGAGCCGGGTCAACAGACACACCCCAAAGACATGCTGTCAATGTACAAGTGCACAGAATATGTCGGAGTCTAGTCACAGGTCCTGTCAGTACCCTGCTTGGTACCGAAGGCCAATGCTCGCTCCCCTTTGCCTAACTCGGCCTGCTGCTCTGATTCCCCAGAGCAAGGCCCAGTTTCTCCCAGCCTGCCCTTTAGGACAGAAGAAGTTGCTGTGGCTTAGAGAGCCCCGGCCTGATGATTTGCTTGGAGGGACTGCTCCCTGCCCTGATGCCCCCTCACTGTTACGATGGACTGGACGCATTGCCCTCTCCCGCTGCACCCATGCTGTCTGCCTTCCCACTCAGAAAGACCCAACACTGACGCCCGTCTTTTATGCAGAGTCCTGTGCCCTCCTGCGCCCCAGCATGCAGGCTTAGAATTTCCCTCCTTGCTTCCTGACATCAGCCAGAGCTCCCTCTACTGAGTCATTGCTGTCAGCTATAAAGGCATTCTCCCTTCTCCTGTCGCACCACTTTCCCAGGCCCCAGGAAAGCTCACAGCACCAAGAGGGACTTCTCTGCAGGAAATGCAAGGCAGCCAGCTGCCACTGGTGCCCACAGGTTTGCCCCTGTGCACAGGTGCCGGAAGCCCCAATGTTGTACAGTTTCCCAGTAGCGTCAGTTCATGGCTTGTCTTTGCAGGTGAAGGCCCAGAGCAGCTGCCCCTGCTCACTGTCCCCACCTCTAGTGCCTGTTCTTAAACCCATTCCTGTCAGCCTTTGGTGCCTACCTTCCCCATGGCAACCTTGGGGGCCGGCTTGGGTACCCTCCCCAATCCTCAGAACCCCACCTCCCCCAGGGCAGCCCCCCACACCCATGGGGTGCTACTCCCTTCTCCTCTCCCACTTTCCATCTCCTCTGCTGGTCACTGTGTCCTAAGAGCCCAGTCCTCAGCCTCCTTCCTGCTGCATGACCCAGGTCAGTACGCTCTACCCCTGCTGTGAGACTGTGGCACCCCCAAGGCTCACTCCATCCCTGTGCTCTCTGCAAACTCCACAGCCCTGTGTCTGTTTACCAGGACTTCCCAGATGTCTGTCGTCTTCCCTCCCTCCCTCCCTCCCTCCTCTCCTTCTTCCACAGTACTTGGAATGGAACCCATGGCCTTTACACTAAGCTACATCCCCAGCCCCTTGTTTTACTTTTTGAGACAGGATCTTGCTATGTTACCAAGGTGCCCAGACTTGTGATTTTCCTGCCTCAGCCTCCTAGAGTGCTAAGATTACAGGCATGTACCACCTTGATATACCACCTTGTTTCCAAGGCTATATTCTTAACAGATCCAATAGAATGACACTTTCTTATCCTAAACAAAACTGTGTCGCTCCTCTGGCCAAGGCCCACCATGGCTCCCTATTTTACTCTTGGAAGAAGCTGCATTTGCCTGCTCCCCAACCTCCTTCATACTTCACTAAGACCTCTCACTTGCCTCCCAGAATTCCTGATCCCCATGAGCTTGTCTCTGTTTCCTTTCTTCCCCCAACACTCCTGCCCTTTGTGCACCCCTAGCTCACGACCACCTTTATTGGCCTCCCATTGATTTCCCAAATGTCTTCCCAATGGGCATACGGGTCGCGGGCAGGGACCTTTCCTGTTTCGCTCATGGGCTCATCTCGAGCACCGAGAACAGGAGCTGGCATATAGTAGGCACTTAATAACCACTTGTTCCATGAAGGAATGCGTGGAAAGGAAAATTCAGGAGCATTCAGGTCTATCAGTGGTAACTCAAGTCCCAACACTGAGGAGATTCCTGGGCAGGAATAAAGGCAAAGAGGAGGTGGGGACCGAGGTCCCCAGCAGTGACCATGGGCATCCTGCTCTCGGAGTCCGTGGCCTGAGGGCTGCAATCCTCTGCCCCAGTTCTGCGTTAACGGAGGCAGTGTGCACCTACGCTGAAGTCCGCCTGACTCTGAGTCTCCAGCCTCGGGCCTGGTGGGTTAGGGTTGGCTCATGGTGTGGGCCTGGCTGAGACTACAGGGGACGTCACCCTGGGGGATGCACAGAGGGGACTTGAGAACATTTCCTTAGACATAGGCCCTGGGGCTGGTCAGATAGGAAGCAGGGACACAGTTCCGAGAACCAGGTGTTTTCAAACCAGGTTCCAGGGTCCCAGGGTCAAGGAGCCCTTCCTCATCCCACGGACAGAGAAGATCTGAGGCCCTCAGTGCTCAGAGGACCAAGGTCTCCTTCCTCTGTCCGCTGATCCGCCTCATCCTTGTCCCTTCAACTCCACAGGGTTGTCAATGTGCGTGTGCCCAGAATTCATATCTCAGGTACCTACAACCTGAAGAAGACCCTCTCCCAGCTTGGCATCAGCAAGATCTTTGAGGAACACGGTGACCTCACTCGGATCTCCCCATACCGCAGCCTGAAAGTAGGAGAGGTAAGCAGGAAACCTCACAAGGCCAGCAGGGCCACTGCCGAAGCAGAAAGATGAGTGAGGCCACTGCCTCCGGACAGGCCAGGGTAGAGCCCAGTGCTGCCCTGGCCAGCTGTGTGATCCCTGGCCAAACATAAACCGTGCCCTCAGCCCCTAAGCTTTTGTTTCAAGCCTTGGAAACTAGAATTGCCCCTCTCTGGTGCCAGTCTGCAGTTGATTCAGTGCCGCAAACATTGGGCGAGCCTGGGGACATTTATCAGGCCCAGAACTTCCTCCCAGAGGGCTCATAGGCTTCCCAGAAGTAAGGGGTGGACAGGTGGCTGTGCTGAAGAGAGTTGGGCACGTGAGGGTCCTGTGGTCTCCAGCAAGGGTCAGCACCCCCTGGGACAAGGAGAAGAGAGAACCCTGCGGGCAGGGCCATCAGATTGCTTGGATGCAGAAGGAGCTATGTGCTTGGCTACTTTTGGATTTCAGAAAAACAAAGGATAATTTTGTTAACGTAAGCCCATGCTGATTATTGCATGGGATGTGTTCACCCTCAGGCACATTCACTGACTATCTTGAATTCAGTTTTCACTGGATGCAATATATGAAATTGAGCAAACCTTTTTGATTAAGGTTATGGGAGGGGAGAAGATTTTAAAAGCATTGCATAGCATGGGGTGACTGGCCAGCGGGGAGGGGTGGGGTTAGGGGCTGGAGGTGGATCAGCAGCAGGGGACAGTGTGGTGGGGACAAGCAGGGAGAAGTGAAGGTCAGCGGGGGAGGGCAGCGGTCACAAGTTGGCAAAAACACAGAGGAAGAAACACAGTTCATGGAATTTTCTGGCATTTGGGTGTCCTTGCCTTGATTGTGAGACATTTCCAAAGTGCTCCACGGCAGCTCTGTCCTTCTACGGTGCTTACCTGACTTCTCTGCAGTTAGGTGAGCTGTGGTTGTGCTCCCAACACGGGGTGCCAGCCTATGTTCTGAAAGGAGAACGGCTGGGATTCTGGAGGCCAGAATAAAATGTGTCGGAATCTCACAGGGGAACACAGATGCCCTGGTTGACACCGCTGGGGTGGACCTGGGGGTCTGGGGTCCCAGTAAGCTCACAGAGCTGTTCTGGAACCTGGCTCCCCCTTAACCATCCTCCAGGGTGAGCTCAGACTCGGCAGACCTTCTCAGCAGCCATCATGAATCCTTGAGATTCCTTAGATGCGTAGCTAACCCCACTCCATGCCCCTGCCCCACCTATGCCCCCAGCACCCTCACGTTCTTGCCCAAATGTCATACAGCAATGACAACACAAGAGTCAGGAAGACCAGACAGCTGGCACCAGCCACTTTACAGCTATGCTGGGCAGCTTTGGCCCAGCTGCCCCCTTCTCTGGGCTTCCTGTCCACCCACGGTGCTCTGTGCGTTCTGGGCCGATGCTGACCCGCTCTCCATCCCTGCAGGCGGTGCACAAGGCTGAGCTGAAGATGGATGAGAAAGGAACCGAGGGGGCTGCAGGCTCTGGAGCGGAGACGCTGCCCATGGAGAAGCCCGAGGACGTAGTGATGAACAGAGCGTACCTGATGATGCTTTATGACACCACTATGCCGTCCATGGTGTTCTTGGGAAAGATTTCCAACCCTAGTGGGAAGTAACAAGGAATTCTTGCACACTCACCGCAGAGCTCAACCACGGCCGGGATGAACAGGCGTGGTCTCCCGGGGCCTCCGGCACACTCTGACATAACCCTGAGCCATGGCATCTCCCATGGCTACCCAAATGCACTGCCTTGCCGGCCACCCCAACCCCTCCCTGCACACTGGGTTTTCTGGATTAAACACTGTACTCACCTGCTTGACCATGTCCCGGCCTTCGTTATTAGCAGACAAGTGCTCCTCCTCCTGCCGAGCCTGCTGGCTGTTGGTGGACAATGTGAGGAGGGTGGGAGCCACCGCAGGTACCTAGGGCTGGGAGTGAGAAAGGAGTGCGTTCATATTTTACATGGTCACCCTCCCAGAGTGTCCACACAGAGGTGCTGGGCCATCACAGATAGATGGTGGCCCAGGTGGAGAGTGCCCAGCCCTTGGACAGCTCTAAGAGGAGGCAACTGAAGTAACAGGGAAAGCTCACTGCTCGCCGAATGCATTTCAGATGCAGAAAGAAGAACGTGGAGCTGAGCTTTGTCCTCAAATTTCTCCATCTTTGCCTCGGCCTGCAAACTGGTCTGCAGGTACAGTGTGTGACCGCTAGGGGGCACTCGTGGCTCCCAGCTTCACCTGGGCCTCGTAGGTGATTCCTTTCAGGTGAAGGCTGGGGGCGTTTTGGGAGGAGCAGATCCTGACTGGTTCAGTATTAGAAAGCCGGACAAGCAGCAATTGTCCTTCCTAGCAGTTCACAGCTCGCTGTGCCCTTTGTGGTCACCTTGCCCTGTGGGCAGCCGGTAGACACTGTGGCTCTGACGGGTGAAAAGGGCCCTTGAGGGAGCCGCAAGCAGCAGCGCCAACGCTTCCAGTCTGGGGCAGGGAGGGAAGGGTCCGATGCTGACCTCAGCTCCTCGCCCATAATCCAGCGAGGTTCCTGCCTCCATCGTGGGCACCGTGTGGGCCCTGAGCCCCAGGCCTCAGACGGCGGAGAGAGCATGTGGGTCAGTTGAGGGTGCTGGGGCTCAGATATTTATTCACTTCTTTAATTTCTTCCTCTGAGAAGTATGTGTTCATCTCGGATGCCCATTTCTGGA